TTCGTATCTTTTAGATACGTACCAGTTGAATTCTGTTTATTTCGTATCTTTTAGATATGTACCAGTTGAATTCTGTTTATTTCGTATCTTTTAGATACGTACAAGTTGAATTCTGTTTATTTCGTATCTTTTAGATACGTACACGTTGAATTCTGTTTATTTCGTATCTTTTAGATACGTACGAGTTGAATTCTGTTTATTTCGTATCTTTTAGATACCTACAAATTGAATTCTGTTTATTTCGTATCTTTTAGATACGTACAAGTTGAATTCTGTTTATTTCGTATCTTTTAGATACCTACAAATTGAATTCTGTTTATTTCGTATCTTTTAGATACGTACAAGTTGAATTCTGTTTATTTCGTATCTTTTAGATACGTACAAGTTGAATTCTGTTTATTTCGTATCTTTTAGATACCTACAAATTGAATTCTGTTTATTTCGTATCTTTTAGATACGTACAAATTGAATTCTGTTTATTTCGTATCTTTTTAAAAATGGATTTAGGCAATGTGTTCAAAGTGTGGACTGAATTCACTACGGACTTCTCCTGCCGCATTTCTTGATATCGAAATGACGTTTCGGGCTCCATGCTGACCTCATGAAGGATTAAATATCGAATTCGAAATATCGTCTCGAAATTAAGAAAATCGGTTGGAAAAGTCCATAGTATACACAGTCCATTTTGTAATTTTTCTTGTTTAAGAATATGAACATGTCGGTTTACTAGTATTATTAAACATTATAACTTTCTTCATTTGTTATTCATTACTTTAATAAGTATATAAAACACGTAAAATTGATCAGAAATGTTATTGTATAGTAATAAGAATAACACTGTACCACTGTATTAGAATATCTTTGCGTTTTTGAACTTCAAATAGCGCCACCTAGCATCAGAAATGAGTAGCATTATTGTAATATATTAGCTAAACCAATACCAAACAATAAACAAATATAAGACGGTTAAACACCATCTGTGAAATATGCAATATTCATAAGATGAAAACAAGAGTTATACTTAAAGTAAAACCGAAAGCATGAAGGGTTATTTGTTTGGTATATCAAATTTCTATTATTGATTTTAATATACATTGCTTCAGGTTTTTTTGGCAACCATTTAACGTTTGAATTTAAAGTTTTTTGTTGTTTTTTTTTAACTGAGTCCCTTCACCAACATATTTTTATTATTTTTTCAAATATTTTCTTTATAAAACTGAGTTGTACTCATTTCTATTTGGCCTCACATGAGGCGCCCACTACAATGGACTACTGCTGTAACACCACATGAGGCGCCCACTACAATGGACTACTGCTGTAACACCACATGGTGTTACAACAGTAGTCCATTGTAGTGGGCGCCTCATGTGGTGTTACAACAGTAGTCCATTGTAGTGGGCGGCTTTCCTTCTTTTCTTGGTATGTTGTAGTGGTTGAATCTCCTTGATGTTACAGCAAAAGTTTGTCGTAGAGTGTGGCTTTCCTTGGTATTACAGCAGTAGTGTGTTGTAGTGGATAGTTTTCCTTGGCATTACAACAGAAGTGGGTTGTAATGGTTGGCTTTCCTTGTGTGAAATGCAGGCATACCATGTGATAGCAAAAATTCGCCCTTGAAAAGTATAGCCTTATTGTCTCATGTATATAATGCTATGTTTTCTCAGACTGTAACAGATTTAAGAGCGCTGCAGTTTTAAAAAGAACTATTTCACCTTCAATAGGATCCGATAGAGAGTTCTCTCCACTAAAGGCTCTGCCCTCTTTCTAAAAATTACACGTCTTACTGTGAGTTAACTAAAAATGTTTGCACCGCATGTTTTACAATGTGTCCACTCTTTTCCTTTTTTTAAATTCAGTCAAATTCAGATAGTATGGATTTATTTCGTAGTACATTTCCTGTTAGAACCTTCTGTTATTTTGCAGATCCTATCTTGTTACTCTTAGAGGGGGCGGGGTCAGTTTTACCAGATGATACCAAAACTTGATGCTACAACAAAAGTTGGTTGTAGTGGGTGCCTTTCCTTGATCTTACAGCAATGTTTGTTGTAGGGAGTAGCTTTCCTTGATGTTACAGCAACAGGTTATTGTAGGGAGTGACTTTCCTTGATCTTGCAGCAATGTTTGTTGTAGGGAGTAGCTTTCCTTGATGTTACAGCAACAGGTTATTGTA